TTCCGCAGGTGTCCTCCCTGGCAGCTGCAGGGCTGACCAGCACAATGCAGTCTCTGAGTGTAGCTGAGATGACATTTTAGTTTTCTGGCTACCTCCCTACATCACCCAGACCTTACGTCCTAAGTGGAGGTGGCATCACTGTGTGGCATCTGAATGCAGTTCTGTACCCTTGGTTGGTCTACTGCCGAGGATCCTCTGAGATTTTTCTCCCTTACCCAGACTTGCTCTCGGGGCCCTCTTTCTGCACCCCTCTCCTTGGCCATAACTGGAGGGAGAGAGAGTTCCACCCAGGCCAGGGCTGCAAAGTCCAGGCCACTGATGACTGCTGCTGGTGCCAGGGGGAAGCCGTCCCATGCAGCTCGGGCAAGGCCACTATCATGCCTGGGGCTGCTCTTGGTGGCATTTACAGTTGCCCAGTGTCTTCTGCTAGGATAGTGGTTGCCCCTTGTCCAAAGACCCCTCGTGGACGCCTGAGACTGGGCAGTACTGAAACCTACGTATACTTTGCTTTCTCCTACACATGCATACCTGTGATCAAGGTTATCGTAGAACTCAGCACACAGTAGGAGAGTAACAGGAATAACTGGTGCTCAAAGAGGATGATTGTGACAGTCTGCTGTAGTAGGGTATGCGGGTGCTGTCTCTCAGTATCATCCTGTCCTGCACATAGGCATGGACACCCTGGACAACGGGTCAGCCACGTTCTGGGCGGGAGGTTTCCCTCACACTACTCAGAATGGCACACATTTAAAAATGCATTAATTTTTTATTTCTGGAATTTTCCGTTTAATGATTTCTGACCATAGTCGACTGCAGGTAACTGAAACCATGAGTGGTGAGACCCAGAAAAGGAAGAATGCAGGATCCCGTGCTTCCATTGTGCAGCAGCCAGTTGCGGTTTCCGTGGGGCAATGGACATGGCCACCTCTTCACTCTTACCTGTACACTGGTCTGTGCCCCCCATGTGGTGATGTCTTTGGTCTGTTATTTCTGTGAGAGGCAGTTTTAGAGGCTTCTGCTTCACCTGTCCTTACAGGCCAAGGGCCATGTGGGGTCGTCTCACTGCCAAGTGTGTCCTCTCCAGTTAGTCTATGGATGGGAAGTGACCGGTAGGTGGGTCCAGGACGCTCTGTGCCAGGCATGCAGGCCACGCTCTCCCCAGCGCGGTGTCATGGCCATGGGATGGCACCCCTCACACCAATACCCTCCTCTTCAGACCTGCATCTGTCTCCCTCAATGCAGTGCAAAGACAGTCCAGACCCATGTCTGCCCCCAGCACCCGCTGGGCACCCTGACCGCATCCTCCTGT